AAATAGATAATTTAATAGGGCATTAATTGGAAGCAAAAGGTTAAAGTAAAGCAATAATATATATCTATATATATAAATATTAGTATTCTGCAAAAAAATATTGGAGCTAGAAAGCGGAAATATTATAATAATATTCTAAGAAGCATCGAAGCACATAAGAATAGATAGGTGATAAGGTCTTTAACTAACATTTTCTACCTATAACAACTACCTTTATAACATATAGCAAAGCATGAAAATTGTACTAAACCAAAGATAACAAATACTATAGAAAGCCAAGAAACACTGCAATAAATATTGAAATACAAGGAGCTAAATTATACAAAAAGATTAATAAATCATTTCGTTCGTACAGATTACAAAATGTAACAAATATTTGGACTTGACAAAAATGATACGTAATAGTCATACAATGAAACGTGTAATGCCTACAAAACAATATATATATATAGTTATGTTGTATGCACGCATATATATATACATGAATTTATATATACATCCATATTGTTATTTATCTATAATGTTTTGCATGTCATGTCATTTTATGTAAGGAAGAAGTTTAATTAAACCAACAAACCACACAATATGCATTTTGCCCACAATATCGCAAGTCGAGGTGCATTCGTTTGCTCGGGGAAGTAATGTAAGGACCTAGCCGTGCTCGTGCTGTAAAGGACATAGAAACCAAAATAAAGGTACAATTACAAGCATCGTAAGGCAGTTGCCAAGTTAGAGTGTAATCAAAATTTGAAAAGAGCGACTTGGTGATTATAGCAGAATGTGCTTAGAAGTAAAACTTCTTGCGAGGAACACAATTGCTGAAAAGCAATATCTACGAAACGTCCAAAATCAGGATTCGAAACCATGCATATTAGAAGAGACGATTTACCAATTCAGAAAAATAGATTTGAAAAGAAAGTTTGAAGAAAGCAACTCACAGAAATAGATTTGAGAAGAGATATATTCTGTGGAGAGGCCTATAACATATGCTAAGAAAACACTAGAAAGGATTAGAATTAAGACCTGGCTTATGGTACATTTGGGGGGAGAAGCTGTTTGCCAGGAGAAGCTTTACAAAGTAGAGGTGACATCGGTGACATATTCAAATTTACTAATTGTCTTTACTGGGCAAGCGTAAAATGTTGGCTTTTGCTATTTGAAGGATCCCAACTCTATGTTGGTTTGCTAGCTTGGGTGAGTTGAATATTATGAATCTAGAGGGGAATGGGAATAGATCATTTGACATGTTTATTCACTTGCTTCGGTGTTTTTACTAATTTGAAAAACCCGATTTGGTACTACCGCGGAATGTGATTAGAAATAAGAACTCATGGAAAACCACTCGTTGAGAGAAACGATGATATAAATATACGAAGCAAAATTTCTGGATAGAATATATGTGCGAAGGAAACGGAAACAAGGCTCACAAATTGCAAAGGTTTGAGAAGGGAGTCAAGACCAGATTTATGGTACATGTTGGGGAAGGAACAGTTTTGAGAGGAGAAGCTTTGCAAAGCAGGGTGAGATTTTCAATATTGCTAGTTTGTTTTATTGGGCATGCGCAAAATCATGGCTTTAAAACTTGAAGGATCTTTTGTCAAGGTTAGTTTTGTTGAAACTCTCAAGTGTTTTTCGCCCCTAAATGTCTTGCAACATACTGTATTTAATTGCTTTACACTCCTTTACACCAAAAAGTTTGGAACTTGTCTTCACGCCAAGTTCTGTTGAACCTTCAAGTTTACATCTTAGACTTGCTTGGAACATCGCTGCATCACAAAAACCGCTGAACCAATCAGTAAGCCTTCCTCACCCGAGAGATTTTTGAGTCCCTCTTTATCGTGCAATTGTTTCAATTCTTCTGGATCCCAAATTTCTTCAAAGTCTTTTGAATTTATCTTGTTAGGAACATCCCTACATCCCAGTCGTCTTCATCGCCAGATTATTGAAAACCAATCTTGGTAGGAAGAACCTTTGAACCCATCGTCATGCCAAGTGTCTTTGAACTTTCAGTCCGTTTTATCCACCTTGTTTATATGTTTTTTGTATCCCCAAAGCTGTTGAATTGACAAGCTCTCCTCTTCACCGCACGGCTTTTTGAACTACATATGATATGTCTCAACATCTTAACATCTCTGCATTGCAGTCCTCTCTAAACCAATCTTAACATGAAAGAATACTGAACCTGTCCTCATGCCAATTTCTTTAAAACCTCCAAGTCCATGTCGCCCTAAGTTTGATTGAAATTGTCTTGCATTCAAACACAGTCGAACCAAATGCACAAGTAGTTCGATCCCCCTTCATCCCAGGTTCTTGTAGACCTTTGACCCAAAGCATGTTGAACATCGCTGCATCACGATCCTCGTCATGCTGAAAGTCTTGCAACTCAATCTTCACGCAAAACCTTTGAGCCCATCTTCATGGCAAACAATTTGACAGGAGAAGTTTTGCAAGGCAGGTGTGATTGTGGGCTGGGTGGGTGCATCTGGACTATGTCTTTGTGAAGGGGTAATCTTTGCTATATAATTATGACTATTAATGTGACTACGCCTGCCGCGAGGGGAGGGCTCGCAGTCCGCATAAGCGGACCAACCACCTTAACTACCTACCCACAAGCAACACCAGCAACAGCAAACAAGCATCCGTGCCCAAGGAGACATCACGCGCAGAGGGTGGCTGGGTTGTTGGCTGTCAGGGCAGTGCCTCAAGGGCTTCTACCGGAGCGGTTCTCCGTATACACGACAAGCGCATTCCACCATTTAGCTGTCCGCGATGGCGATTGACCTGCTGGATTCCTTGTGTCTCCGGCCTCGCCAGGAACCACGCGGCAGCTATCTAAAACCCCCCGCCATTGAAGCTGGAGGGGGCGGGTGCGCCGGGGGGGTGCCTTCAGTCGTGCGAGTGGACCAATCTGGGTTGCCTGGCCTAGACCTGCAGTGGGTGGGCTTCAGCCATCTAATGACGCGCTGGTCACCCTGGCTCCGGCCAGCGGCCTTGGGCACACACAACAACACAACCACCAACAGCAACAACAGCTACTACTACCACTACTAGTACTACTGCTAGCCGGGGTGTGTTTGTGTTCGGGCTTGCTTTTTGTGGCGTGCTTGCGCGCTTGTTTCTTTGCTCTGCGTCGCTTTGCCTTGCTTTTGGCTTTCTTTGCTTTGCGCTGCTTGCTTTGCTTTGTTGTTTTGCTTTGCTTTGTTGCTTGTTTGTTTGTTTGGCTGGCGTGCTTTGTTTTGCTTTTGCTTTGTTGTGTTTTGCTTTGCTTTGGCTTGCTTCTTTTTTGGTTGGTTTGGTTTGGTCTGGCTTGGGTTTGTTTGTTTGTTCTATTTTGTGCTGTTTTGGCTTTGTTTGCTTTGCTTGGCTTTGTTTGTTTTGTTTCTTGTTTGTTTGTTTGTTTTGTGTTTGGGCTGTTTGGTGTGATTGGTTTGATTGTTTTGTTTGTTTGCTTTGTGTTGTTTTTTCTTTTTTGTTTTGCTTTGCTTTGTTTTGTTGGTTTGTTTGTTTGTTTGTTTGTTTGTTTGCTTGTTTGGTTGGTTGGTTGGTTTTGGTTGGTTAGTTGGTTTTGTTTCTTTTTTCTGGGTGTGTTTGTTCGCGGTGTGGTGTTAGGGGTTTTGTTCGCGGTATGGTGTTAGGGGTTAGGGGTTTAGGGGTTTAGGGGTTTAGGGTTTAGGGGTTTTAGGGTTTAGGGTTTAGGGTTTAGGGTTCGCCAACACAGGTGGTGGCGTCCTAGTCAAACCGCCTTAAAGCTTTTTAATTATCTTTTTTATAGGGTGAAACCCTACGCTCGACATTTTTGGCTGAGATTTTGAAGCCCTACGCTCGACATTTTTGGCTGAGATTTTGAAGCCCTACGCTCGACATTTTTGGCTTAGATTTTGGTGCCCTACGCTTAGCATTGTTGACTGTAGTTTTGAAGCCCTACTCGGTTTAAAAGCAAAATCCAATTTTATGGCAAAATTGCTTAAAGGGATACGATTCAAAGGCAAAATGGTATATAGGGATCCGGTCTCAAGGCAAAATTGTTTACGGAACTCGGTTTTAATGCAAAATTCTTTACAAACGACCGTTTTAAAGGAAAAATTGTCTACAGTAAGTCAATTTTAGAGGAAAATCGCCCGCAGAAGACAACTATACAGCCTTTAAAAACCGGTCTTCTGCAGATAATTTTTCCTTTAAAGCCGCCTTCTATCGATAACATTGCCTTTTCAAATGGTATTCTATAGATATTTATGCATCTTAAATGGATTTCCACAAATAGTTGTATTATGGTTTGTCTGTTGGTATATAATCTCCCGATCGACCGACTGATTCCCTTAAATTGCAAACCCCTGCTGTATCCAAATTGTCATCGACCAACCTGGCCCATGTTCCATCAAAATGTTGCCCTCGCTGCGTCCACTTACAGTCGAGTTGCGGGAGTTTGGCGCGCTGGCCGTGCATTTTCGCGACAGGTTTGCGGCTGCCGCGCATTTTCGTGACAGGTTTGAGCCGGCAATGCCACAGCTAGGAAGATGATTCTTTGGATTTGTAGTTACAACTCTGACGTGCAACGTGTACAGTTTTCACGTTTTCTCAACCTTTTTGCATCCATTGTCGATGTCACCATTCAAGATCTGAGACTGACCGCAAACCTCCATGAGCGAGATCGCTTCTCACGACGCCCTCGTTGCATTCTTTTCCGTCCAGCGCTGAAAGTTCTGTACTGCTAGCGACACTTTGGCCGTCGGGGTCACTAGCGCGCCCGGCATTCTGGGCAATAGCGTTGCCTCTTCCCATCTTTTGAACATCCGTCTGCAAATTTTCGTTTGCATCCTTTGTTTCGGCAGGTCTGAAGGCCTCTTTCCCGCTTGTCAGTCTCTCTGGATGAGCAGTTGCTGCACACTTGCTTTCGCTCCTTGCCCATCCCCACTGCGTTTGGGAAAATTTGGCAACAGGTCTTGCATGCGAAAAAGCCTTTCCATTGTCGGTTGGTCTGCTTCTTCACTGCGCCCTGGCAATCAATGCAAAGAATGCCCGCTGCAGGCATTGTCATCATAGACGGTGTGAACTTGGCAGGTGTCTTGGTCATCAGACATTTTCGGCATTGCATCCCTTCGGCCCTCTTCACCTGCAAGCATTTCAGGCAGTGCCTCATCATGTCTGCTTCTGGCTGCGCCAACTGCGCTCGTGGAAAAGCATCTGCTATTTTCATTGTGTTGCAGCCGCAGCATTTGTGCTTATGTAAGCTGTCTGGTTCCAACCGCCGGCGGTGGGAGGGAGGTTTTCCTTGCCAGCAAGTCACGCAAGAGGCGAGGTTGTTGGCTCGGACACGTTCCCATTGCTTGTGCTCAAAGGCATCCAAGGGTAGAAGCTGTCGGCATTTCTGACAGCTTGCCGTGGGCTTGCGAGCTTCCCGATAAGCGGACCAATCGATCACTTCCCCTCGCAACTTCTGTAGCAAAAGTTCTGGTCCATCAGAGGCAGTCCGTTGAAAAAGCCAATCTGGAAAGGGTCGTAGGATCAAGACATCGTGCCGGCTGCGAACTCGTGTTGCCGCCACTGGCCCGATGGTTGGGTCCATCTTTTTGTCAACATTCAAGTCGAGGAGCACCGCAACCAAAGTTTTCCCTTGGCTTGCATGAGCCGTCATGGCATAGGCAGGCGTGAGGGGAAGCTGAGTCCTCTTCACCTTCAAGACTTTCACCTTGCGCCCCTTGTCTAACCACCAATCTGCTGTGCGGGCCACGATGGGATAAACCCCCGGCTCCGATACCCCTTCCAGCTGCCACTTTGCGCCTTCAAATTTCAAGTAGACCACCGATGGGCGCTGCCGCCCTTCCTCCCAGACCCAAGAATGGACGATGCCCACGGTTCCCCGCAAAAGGCGCTTGTCCTCGGACCGGTCGATGTGCTCGGTCAAAGCCACTTTCATGCCGATGGCCAACGGCAGGGTGCCCAGCAAGTTGCCCGTGTCCTTGTCATGGTACTGCAACCACCTCAGTCAGTGATGCTTCTGTAGTATTTCTTTTTTGGATCAGAACACCGATCCTTTCTAGGAACGCGGAAGAAAAGTGCAAACGCATGGTCAAAACTTCTTGCCTGTATAAAGTTTAGTCTAGTCACTTAATCTTTCGTTCTTTGTCACAAGCTTGTGCTTGCAGGGTTTCTGTACTTGCCACGTCTTTTGCCACCGACCATCGCAGCTGCGCGTTCGCGTCTTGGGCATACTTCTTGGCTCGGTCTTTGTTGATCTGGTATTTGGCATCGTTGTTCGCCACGATGACCGGCGCCTCTTGGAATCTTGCTTCCCTCAACCGTGGGTCCCCAGGCCCATCGATGACCCTGCGTCTCGATTCTCGCTCCTCTTTGGACAGCTTGCATCCCTCCACGGGGTAGCCATGGAGATAGCGCCAGTTGTTCTCCGATAGATGGCCGGCTCGGAGCTCGTCCGTGACTTCATTCCACCACTCGTCCTTGCATCTTTCTCGGTCGGTGAGCTCCACCATGCCCTCGATGTCTTCCCACATCAGTCGCCTGCCCGCATCTGCCATCGGGTCCGGCGCTTTGCAAGTCTCATGGGGCCCCACCCGAAGATGATGCGGAACATCTGCCAGGTTGCCGCCTTGGGGTGGAGGAAGTTGTTTGAAGTCACCGACGAGGATGACGTTCACGCCTGCCAACGGCCGCGTGTTGCCAGTCAGCGGGTCATGCTTCCAGGCATCTGCTGACGGCTTGACTTCCCGGAGGCAGTGGTCCACTTGTGCGAAGAGGTCTGCCGGCACCAAACTGATTTCGTCTATGAAGAGCCACCGGCAGTAGGCTAGCTGCTTGGCGGCTTCAGGCTTCATCGCTTGCTCAAAGCTGCGCTTGTTGGTGTTCCAGCCGAAGGCGTGATGTATGGTGTCCCCATCCAGGTCTGCGGCGTTGGTGGCTTGAAACGCGACGAACTGATAGTCGATGCCCTTCTTTAGCCCAGCCAACGCAAAGAGCTCTTGCACGAACTTCAAGACGTGGGATTTTCCAGTTCCTGGCGGTCCATGGAGCAAGTGCCGCAAGGGCTCGGTGCCATCTTCTCGGTGCGAAGCGCCCGCATCTTTCAAGCCGAGCTCCACCGCAAGCCTGTCAACCACGATCTCCAGGAAGATATGCTGCTCCACGTTAACTTGGCATCTGACCCCCTCCAGCCAGTCATCGATCAAGGTCATGGTCACTCTCGGCTGTTCCTGTGCGCGCTTCGATCAAACCTGTCTACACATCCAAAAATGGCCCCTAGTAATGCTTACGAAATATACAATTGTGCTGAATGTTTCCGCCCTGCCTCCACTTCCGCACTCACCTCGCTGATGGCACCAGTCTTCCCACTCTTGAATCTTTTCTCCCCCTGTTTGATCGACGCGTGGGCAGCTTCTTTTGCCTTGGCATAGTCGAAGGGGCCGTCGACTTGCTTGAGCAGCTCTTCATAGCGTTTCTTCGCTGTTGCATCATTGTTCTTGTCGCTATGCGTCCAAATGGCGCCCGACAGGTTGAAGAGTTTCAAGGTCATGTCATAGAGCTTGGTCTGCTCGCCCTCCTCTACCTCGCTGCCGTTGTTTCCCTCCGCGCTGGGGTCTTGGCGACCGCTGCCGCGCACGTGGGTCAAGGTGGCTTCCAGGAGGTCATCCTCTTTCAAGGCGATGTCCGCCAGCTCATCAGTCATGTCCTCGTTGTCCGAGTTCTCCTCCAACCCATCGATCGAGTGCATCTGTCGCGGCAAGCAGTAAGTGAAAACAAAGCTCATGACCATGCGCTTCACCTCCTCCGTCAAAAAGCCGATGCTCCGCGCATGTGTCAATAGAGCTTCCTTCCAGTCTTGCATCCCCGCCCGCCACATGTCGGTGACGAATGGCACTGTGGATGAAGCTTCGGCCGGGTCGTTCACCCACGGGAAATACAGCACGAGGATCCTCATGGCTTGCTCTTCCGTGGTCTTGCTTCCCTGTGCTCCAAAGATCACCGGCACATGCGGCCGTCGTCGCGCGGCTATGACCCAGTCATGGCGATAGGTTTGGACAGGTCTGCCGAGGCCCAATGGCAACCAACCTTCTCCACCTTCTTCTTTGATCTTGTAGTCTTCCCCTGCCACCAACTTCCGGATGTTCTTGCTGACTTTCTCCATGCCTCTTTCTGTGAGCTCTGCCTCGAAGTTGTCAGGGTCTTCGATTTGCCGTTTGATAGAGAAGGGCCGTTTTGCTTGCTTCATGCAGTAGTGGCTGGCAAACTCATAAGCAGACAGCTGGTGGACCTCTGACCGCTTCCCTCTTCCACCATACAGCGTCCAGAACGGGGAGTCGGTGACCTCGTGGTTCAATGGATCGCGCTTGTCGACTTTGGTCCTGCGGGGTTCTTCTGGCCAGGGCTGCTCTTCTGCTATGTGGCATAGAAGCTGCAAGGGGTAGCGCAAGGAGATGTCCGTGACCGGCGCGGTCTTGATGGATTCAGCCCAGGTGGGATCCTGCTGCGAGGCGTTGAGGATGAGGTTGCAAGATTCCACGGCTCCACGGACGACACCTCTACCGTAGCAGTCGGTAATCAAGCGCTTTGTGGTCCTGGCCCCCACGTATCCAGTCTTCTTGTCTTTCACTTCATCGTGGAGGTGCTGCTGTCCTCGCGTCCAATCCTTCACCTCATGTATTGCCAGTGGAAGCCGCTTGTTCT